CCACAACAAGTATGTTCGTGCATCCCTTGGAAACGGGCAAATTCACGATGAAGTCCATTGAAACGCTATCCCACGGCATTCTGGAATAGGCAAGGGTGATAAAAAATCATGCTGGTGATCTTGCTCAGTCTTGTCTTGTTGGCAAACGAGACAAGTCCTCACATAGGTCTCCACATCTTCCCGCATGCGAGGCCAATAGAACCGTTCATTAACCAAAGCAAGTGTATGATGCGTACTTGGGTGACCCGCATAACGGGTATCATGGCAATCCCTTAGAATCTCCCTTCTAAGTCCATCCCATGTGAGAACGTATAAACGGTTCCGTTTGGCATAGAGTATCCCATCTTGAAGCCAAACCTGCATCGTCTTGCCCTCCTTCACGAGCTCCATGAACCTTTGTGCTTGACGGTCGTGCTCAAGACCCTTCTTGATACGATCAAGTAACGTCCCCTTGGGTATGCTTACAATTGGAGTAAGACATGCTTGGCTTAGGGCATCGGCAACGTGGTTAGTCTTCCCCGGGCTGTACTCTAACACGTACTTGAACTCGGCCAAGAAGTCCAACCAACGTGCTTGCTTGCTAGAAAGCTTTGGTTGGCTTTGATGGTAGCTCACTGCCCGTTTGTTCATCTTGATCTTGAACGGCATGGCGACCTTCAAGTAATGCTCCCAAACTCTAAGGCAATGAACTATAGCCAACATCCCCTTCTCCTGCATCGGCCACCTTTTCTTGATCTCATTAAACTTGCGGCTTTCATAGGCAATCGGGTGATCGTCTTGCATGAGAACACCCCCTATGGCAAAGTCCGAAGCGTTAGTGCACACCTCGAACGGCTTCTCAAAATCAGGGAGAGCCAAGATCGGCTCTCGAGTGACGGCGTCCTTCAAAGCCTCAAACGCCGTTTGGTGCTTAGGTGTCCAACACCATGCTTGCCCCTTCTTTAGGAGATCCGTTAAATGGAGCAGCTATGGCAGAGTACCCCTCAATAAATCGCCTATAGTAATTAACAAGCCCCAAGAACGATCTCAACTCCGTCAGCTTCGTGGGTGCCTCCCATTCCACATAGCCTTGATCTTGGCCGGATCCAAGTAGATTTTGCCCCCACCAATGATGTGCCTCAAGACTGACACCTCCTCAAGGCTGAAGGAGCATTTTTCCTGTTTGACATAGAGCTGGTTTTCCTTAAGTACTTGGAAAACGGCCCTAAGATGCTCCATATGCTCCCTTATGGTGTTGCTATACATAACGATGTCGTCTAAGTAGACTACAACAAACTTATCAATGAAATTCGCTAGCACACGTTGTATCAAAGTGCAAAACATGGCTGGGGCGTTAGTTAACCCGAACGGCATAACAAGAAACTCATAAGAGCCATACCTCGTCACCATGGCCCATTTTCGGTTCATCACTGGGTGCTACGCACACTTGGTAGTATCCCTTTCGCAAGTCCAGCTTGGGAAAGATGCGCGCCCGTTGCAACCGATCAAACAAGTCCGCTATAAGTGGGATGGGGTACTTGTTCTTCATGATCAGCTTGTTCAATGCCCGATAGTCGACGCACAAGCGTAGCGTCCCATCATTCTTGCATTGGAACAAGGCCGACGAACCCCACGTACACTTGGACGACCTTGCATGACCTGACTCAAGTAGCTCCTTGATTTGCACCTTGAGCTCCTCTAGCTCACTAGGAGACATACGATAAGGCACCTTGGCTATTGGTTTTGCCTCGTCCACCAACTCGATAGCATGATCAATCTCCCTCCTTGGTGGAAGACCCTTGGGCAATTCGTCGGGCTTAACGTCCTTGAACTCAACAAGGACCCATTCTGTGGGAGGTGGGATTCATTCCTCCTTTGCTGACTCCTCTATGCATGGTTCCTCCTCAAACACCATGGCGGCAAAGGTGTGCTCACCCTAGTTTAGCCCCTTGTTCACCTGGGAAGGGCTAATCTCCTTCTTCCTTCTAAACTTCACAACAGCGAGCTGAAAACTTGTTGGTTGGCAAGGTTTTGTTGAACCAAGATTATTACTGCCTTGAATTCCTTACAAATAAGCCCCAAAATGAAGACCGAATTTAGAAGAGGTAGAAAACTAGCTTTTGAAAATTGTTTTGTTGTATTTTAGCTATTCTTGATCTTTAACGTTTGGTAGGTTTAGGAATTGGTTGAACAGGTCTATGTTTGCTTCATTCGGTAGCTAAACAAATTAGTCTGACAATGTTATAGTAATCTGAACTTATAGAATCATGGCAGTATAACAGGAGAACCTTGTAAAATGAGATACTAGTTAGTTAATTAGTTTACCTTGGACAGAAGTATATATGTGATCATAACATTAGCTTACCTATGCAGGTTCAACTTAGGGATTAACCTTTAAATAATTTAATTGCAGAGCCGGTAGCTGAGACCTTGAGACATTAGATTCTTGCAAACACGATTAGGAGTTGCTGAGGATAGAGGTGAGTGTTTCCCACCTCACTTTTAATATTTACTTTTCTGTCGTTTTAAAATATTTATTTAATTTACGTAAAAATGCATGTGAACATGAATGCGAGTGTGTCTGTGTGCCTTTGTTGCAACATGTGATTTGCTTGCGCATGATATGTGGGATTTCCGTCCGTGAATTTTGAGTGATATATATTATATACTATATATATAAGACTATGGCTTGTTTAGTGGTTTCGCCAAGTCTCTACTTAGGGTTTTATGGGCTATAGCTTGCTTAGTGGTCTGGTTAAGTCCTTACTTAGTGGACTGGCTAAGTCCTTACTTAGTGTTTATAGACTGTAGTCTGCTTAGTGGACTGGTTGAGCCTTTACTTAGTGATATAGATATATATATAGAGAGAGACTATAACCTGCTTTGTGGTCTGGCTAAGTCTCAACTTGTTTGTGACTTTCGCACGAAGTCGTACTTGTTGCTTAAAAATCTATGTGTGCATGCGCATGACTTTTTATTTAAGCGTATAATGCATGTGGGCTTGTGAACGTGTGGCTGCTTGCGAAATATTTATTTTAAATTGTGGGGAACACCGTAACCTATTGTTTTGCAGGTGTCGACGGTGAGTGCGCTAGCTCAGAGTGATGTGTTTGGGTGCTGTGAGCTCAATAGATTGAAGGTTGTAGTAGGAAGTTCCTGGGGTGTATTGTAGATTATATTTTATTAGTTTTAAAAACTGTTTGTTTTCACTAGCAGTTGATTGCTATAAAATGGTTTAAAATCTTTCAATTTGTAAACAGAACGTTAAGTTCTTGTATTGATGTTTCTAAATGCTTGTAACCTTCAGAGAACGTAAAGTTAAAGTTTTATTTTGTTGTGAGTAATAGAAAATCTGTTTCGTTCCTTTTCCATGGCTATTGCTAACCCAGGTTTTATAAATTCAGCTTTTAAAATAAAGTGATTTTCTGTTTTTAAACATTTTAAGCTTAAGCAATTGATTTCAAAATTTTAATTTAATACTTTTAGTGTGAGACCTAGCACGAGCTGGGCAGACGTTCATCTAATGTTCTTTTGTCAGATTTAAGCTGATTAGAGCGAGTTAGAAGGCGTCACAATAAATATCTTATTATATTAGAAACAAAAACCACACTTAAGAGAAAGTACCACCATTTGCCATGTGGCATTTCCACATCATATTTTTAAAATAAATTTTTATTTTCACGTCTTCTATACTTAAAAAGCAAATGTAGTCCAAATCCACTTCCACATCCTATTTTCACCAAAAAAAAATAGATGCTTTTATATTTTGTCTAACATTTACTTCAAGATATATATTTAATCAAGTTTATTTATATTTAAGAAGTAACACTTATAAAATATTTCTAAAATCTTCAAACATTTCTAAAACGTACCGGACCAAATACAATTTTTTTTTATGCGAAATACAAACATCACACTTATAAAACATTTCTAAATTCTTCAAACATTTCTAAAATATATCGAGCCAAATACAAAATTTTTTTTCCAGATACAAACATTTCTAAAATCTACAGATATATTGGGTCAGGGTCGCGCAACGCGTGACCAGACATTACTAGCAATATTTCTTTGTTAGGTATATATATAAACACTTTACTCCACAATTTCTCAGTAGGAAGATGGCATGATTTCTTGTGGTTTTACCCACTGGGAGCCAAACTTACACTCTTTATGTCCCAAAAAATAGTCCATATTGAATTTTTAAATTTGTATTATTTTTTATACAAATTTGAAAACTCAATGTGAATTATTTTTTTGGGACGGAGGTAGTAGTATATAATAAAATCTTTAAAGTGTCGAACCATAAAGCTGGCCTTAGTAATTATCGGAATGGAGACTAATAAACACTAAAAGACAAATGTTGGTTACTTTGTTGGTTAGTTTCTTCAGCTGATCAATTAAAAAGACGTCTGGTGCTAGGTTACCATCATCCACTGTAAACATACTACAGCCTTTTTTTTTTTTTTTTTTAACCTCTAGGTGATTTAACAAAATATAATCATAAACGAGTTATGTTTTTGAAAGTTGAAACAAGCTAAATTTTCACCCAAAAAAAATATAATAAAAAATAGTAAAAAAAATCACTTTCACAGCCAAACCGACATTTCTTTTTACTTCCCTATCTCATAATTATTGTCTAGTTTGAGTTTTCATTTCTAGTTCAAATCGTACTAAAAGTGAAATCTCAAGCTGGACAATAATGTTAGAACATCCACAATGATTTATACTATTGTACGTGTAATGTCATAAATTTTCAATATTATACTTTTATTCCACTTTTCACCACGTTAGTTTACACTGTAAAAGTGTAACAAAATGAAATAGTTTTAGTATCATCATAAATTCATATTAATTACATTTTAACACCAAAAAGTTTATTGTAGTGTGGAAGAATTAATTACATTTTAACACCAAAAAGTGTATTATACTGTGGAAGAATTCTTACACGATATAATAATATTACACTCAACATAATGGTAAATAGTATAATAAAATAATTATTTACTTGTTATTTACTACCACTAAAGATGATTTTAGGACAAAGGGAGTATGATAGGAAAAAAATGTTACACTGCAGCAAGTGAAGGATATTTGTATTATTTTATTTATTATCCTCCTTTTCAAGTTAATCCAAGGTAAATTACAAGAAAATAACATATCAGTTTCATTGCATATGGCCAGAAATGCCTGAAAATGAGAATGGAACTTGTTATGGTTACACCATTCGATCAATGTATGTCAGAAAACTATTCTCGGAGCATGTGAGAATAGTTCAAAAGCGTCCAAATCAACAGTAACAAGATTTTGCTTAATACATATGGAATTTGGCCTTCGTTTTCTCGAAGACTTGTTCCGCAATAAGAGATGTATCACCATCTGCTCTTTTGATCTCCAAGTTTGCTTTCTGGTAGAAGCCGGTACCTCTTAGCGCATCAGCAATAAAGTCATCAAACCCGATCGCGATTGCTGCTTCAGCTTTAGCACCGTACACCAACCTCTGCAAAACAAGAACACAAAGAATTGGAGTACAAGGACCAATAATACATCAAGTTGCCCGAGAACACGAAATAAGAGGGAAGTGCAAACCTTTAATCGAGAAAGGTGAATAGCACCAAAGCACATAGGGCAAGGCTCACAAGAAGCATATATCTCGCAATCTGAGAGCTCAATTTTGTTCAGCTTCTTGCATGCCTGAAGAAGTATCCAAAACAGAAAAGAAGAAATACCAGCATGAGCAAGAAAGCAGAAATTAAAGATTTCATGTTTCACCATTTCAGCAATTCAAGCAGAATAGAATGAAGAACATTACAAATGAACCTGCACATAAACAATGTAGGTAATAAAATAATATTAACAATGTAGGTAATAAAATAATAACAAAGTAGGCAAGTTCCTCCATATTTATCACACGGAACTAAATAATATTATTCCATTCCTACTATCCTGCACCATTTACCCAGATTAATTCCTTTGCTAATACTTCTCGCATATTGGCCACCAAAATTCAGGGCACAACATGATCATGAATGTAGCTCGGGCCAACTATAGTCCAACATATTGCATGCCATTGTGATCTCTGAGTTCAGGAGATAATAACTCTGTACCGGTCATCACAAATGGCTCTGATGTTTACCCTTCACCGCACATTAATATATTCTCTTCCCAAGTATATCTCTATCACAAACACACGACCTCCATATCTTTGTAGTTGATATTTACTCCCGAAAAGATGGGAAATATCTTCCTATAGTGGGATTTCTACAACATAATAAAGAATCAAACAAGTATCAGAACCAACAAACACAAACCCTGCCTTATTTCGCCATGTCAGCTTCTAGCATCCATTGCCCTTTAGAACCTGGGCTCCTAGAATCATAACCCACAAAGACATCTCGGCCAACAAGTCCACACAGACACAAACTAAAATAAAAGAAAACCTACTAGGGTATATAAATGAGTAGATGAACATGAGGTTGAACGAAGAAAATCTGCCATTTCTAGTACAGTAAGATGTGAATTAAAGTTATTATTTGAAGGCTGAATCAGAATTCAACAAGGAAAAAAGATAATTAAAAAGGGATAATTTAAAGTGTAGGTCGTTAGAATAAGGCGCCTTGCAAGATGCAACATTTTCTTCAGTTCAGTAACAAAGTTAGCGAAGGAAATTCTCGTAAACTTCAACAACCATAGAGCACACAAAGTAGCCCAGCGTCATTTACTTGATTTCTAGTAACAGAAAACTGAGAAACAGGAATCTGACTTGTCAAGCCAACTCTTTTTACAATACCACAATGACACTACCATAAGCTGTTCAAGCACCCAGATTGCAGAGCAGAACTGATTGGCTCCCTTAACAGTACAAGTACATAATGGAAGACAGCACATGGAAGAGCATATCCAGCATAAACATAGCTTTAACTTCTTGTTCCTATATTCTCTATGCAGTGTAACATATTTGATGAAAACAGATAACCACAAGCGAAATATCTAACCTCTCTTATTGCAGTAACCTCTGCATGCGCAGTAGGGTCAACACTATCTAAAACCATGTTGTGACAACTCACGACAACTTCATCATTGCGAACGACTACGGCACCAAATGGGCCTCCGTGTCCACACTCAACCCCTTTGTAAGCTTCTTCAACTGCTCTTGTCAAAAACTTATGGTCCCTGTCCTGTACAGCTGATAGGAAGTCCCAACAAAATCCAGAAAGTCAGAAACTTTACAATCCATCAGAAAACTTCCAAAGGTTATTGAGATCATTTCTCAATCTCTGAAACAGTAAAACTACTAGATTTAAAATAAAATTCAACAACTGTATCATCAAGTAAAGAAGAAAAAAAACCAAGATTAAAATCTGTAAGTTGATGGTTGAGCCGCAGGGCATTTTGTGGATCATTGACTGGATTAAGACTGATTTAGATAGTTTTGGGACTAATTATTTTATAACAATTTATCTTATGAAAATGTTAAGTATGTGTGAAAAACTACTGCATCACTAAATGATGCCGTTCGAGTAGTCAAGTCCTCTGTTTTGTAAATATATCAATAATACTGCAGTGGGAAACAAGTGGACAAACCTTTCACCAAAAAAAAGAAAACAAGTGGACAAAACATATAACTTTCAGTTGGTAGCTATAAAGTTATTAATCAACTATGAGATAAAGGCCTAGTAATTCAATCCAATAATCTGCTTCCTCAAGACTACAAACAAGCATAGATGGAAAAGCAAGTTAGCAGATTTGATATACTCAAATTGATCTCAAAGCATAGCCTCAATTCTACATGGATCTTACTTCCAATGATTTTGTATGAGCAGTGCATTTTGATTCCAGGAAAAGGTCATCAAAAGCTTGGGATCACAATTTCTCAATCGAGGTGAAGGAAATCAAATATAAATCACAAGCAACGAATGTGACTATGACATCACTCAATAACCCAGAAATGAACTTAATGGAGGAAAAAAAGGGGAGGCACATCAATATGAAGTATGAACACCGGCAAAAAATAAGTACAGAGTCCACACAAGGAGTAGAATTGACCCTCCATTAGAAGTTTTACTAGATTGGAATTTCGAAACCTCATGAAATTTACTCATTCCAATGAAGGGCATGAAGGTTTAAGTAGTTGCAACTACAAACACCTCAGCAGTAGATGCAAAAAGTGATTTACCAATAACAAAAGTAAAATGATCCCAATACCAGTGAAGGGAATAAGGTCATGGAAATACCTTCCTGATGACCAGCGAATGCAGATGCGACAGAAATAGTTCCATCCTTGGCTTCAACAACTGCAACAAAAAAAAAAAGAGGCAAAATGAAACAAATTAACAGGGACAAAAGGCAAATAAAGAACTTTTGCAAAGGTTCAATAAGGTAAAGAATCCTGGCTAGATTACAGAAAATACATCTCAATCAACTCATATAATACGCCTAAAATTACAGATTCATGCACCAGAACGACCTGTTCAAGTCCTCAAAATTAAGTATCAAAAAAGACTAAACTGATTCACAAAAGACAAAAAAATTTCCACTTACAGTACATGATTGACTAGGCCAGGATGATAAAATCCCGTAAAATACACAATTGGTTTAACTAAAAAAGCGTAATTTCTAAAATCACGTATGGACCCCATATGCTGCTCCAAGAACTAAATCAAATAATGCCTCAGAACAACGCAACAGGAACCCCACTAAGCTTTTTAGTCAAAAGGACCCCAAAAAACAAAATTAAAAAAATCCAAAAAACGGTGGAAACACCCATTGGCACCAAGAAACAGGAATAATTCGAAAAAACCTGAAGCGATTCAAACAGCCCAGATATCAAAACATCAAGCTCGATAAACCCAGAAGGATTTACTGGCAAAAAGGAAGAAAAATAGAGTCGATTCAATCAAGCAGTACAGAAAATATGAACTCCATGGATACATGATCCTTACCATTGGCTTCTTCCATGATGAAGATGGGAGAATGGCGGTGGAAGAAAGTCGTATATGAATTGAATTTAGACGAAATAAAAAGGAGTTCCAAACTTCCAGCTATGCTCTAATAATGATGAGAATGGTTAACATTTAACAAAACCAGGACTTATATAAGAAAAAGAAAAAGGGTCTTTGACAAATCACAAACGGAATAAACGTGGAAGGTAAGGAGGAAGAATTAATTAAGAAAGAAACGATCCACGTATTAATAATTGCTATTAAATTACTATCAGATTAACGTAATATAGTCACTGAAAAGATGGAAAGAAAAAGGGATGAACGAAGTAGTGGCTCAGGAAAGAAGTTTTAAGAAAAACAAATTGGAATCCTATCTGGATTCTCTTTTGCTTTTTAACCATTAAAAACAAGTCTTCGATGGATGACTAGTAGGTGATTCATGATTGTGTGTAAAAACGCTCTTCTTTTCTTTTTTCTTTTTTTTTTGCCTTTCTTCTTAATTTGATAATTTCAGTTATTTGTTAAATTTGTTAAAATTTCGGGATCACAACTTGCTTTCTCCTTGTAAAATTACAAAGAAATGAAGAATGGGATTCTCTGCGTTCCATTTTGGGTGAATGGTAGCTTAAAAGTTTTTACTTTTTGATATGTCAATTAATTTCCCGTCATGGTACATCACATGAGACGTGTATATTTTGATCGATTAATGTGAAAAATGTGAACAGACTGAATAAAAAAATGTAACTGGTAAAATTATTTAAGAAGATGATGTTGTAAACTTGTAGTACTTAATATTAAAATTAAAATTCAGGTTATGGATGGACACTATTACAGAAGCGAAAATTAAATTTTTAGACTATACTTGTAATCTATTTTTTCAAATTGAAGGAACTATTTAACAAGAATCCATTTTTACCTCTTGAAAACAGCTGCCAGTTAAGACACGTGCTAACTCCTTGTGAAGTATTTTCCCTTCCAAAATATTTAGTCTTACATTAGGTCATTCAATGTGTAAATATGAAAAATAATTGATTACTACATTTTAATCTAGTTGCATTTAAAACACTATAAATGCAAATAGAGGTCTTAGTTTAGGAGTTGGCAGCGCAATTTGATTATAGTGTAATCACATAAGAATGCATATTATGCATTAGTATCAAGTTAACGAATTACCACTAGAATATATGAATAGCATTTAATAAATCCTATGAGTAAGAATTAAATTCTAAAATGCATAAAATAAAATCATCGAGATAATACTTATCCAAGCAAGTTGATGACTTTTGAAAATGTTAAGTGATGAAATTAGTTGGCAAGTCGTGTTTATCAACAGGGCACCAAAATAATGATTTTAAATATCCCTTATGGTACTTATTATAAGACATTTTGATTTTTTTTTTAGGTTTCATCTAGCATACATTTTTAATCCCTTTATACCTCTTGAAAGCAGCTGTCATTTAAAGACACGTGGCAGCTCCTTGTAAATTATTTTTCCTACTAAGATATTTAGCCTTACATTAGTTCATTTAATGTGTAAACATGGAAAAATAAAATAAAAAAATAGAACAAACATCTTAATATTTTCAATTCCTAAATTTTTATTGTTAATTGAAGATCCCGCAAATCAACCGATAATTGATTACTGTATTTTAATGTGAAACTGTCCAGACTTCTGCCCGGGCTAAGAATCTAATTGTATTTAAAACACTAAATGCAAATAGAGGTCTTAGTTTAGGGGTTGGCAGTGCAATTTGATCATAGTGTAATCACATAACAATGCATATTTTGCATTAATATAAAGTTAACGAATTACTAGTAGAATATATAAATAGAATTTAATAAATCCTACGAGTAAGAATTAAATTCTAAAATGCAGTAAAAAAAAAAGACTGAGATAATACTTATCCAAGCAAGTTGATGAATTTGGAACATGTTAAGTGATGAGGTCAGTTGGCAGGTCGTGTTTATCAACATTGCACCAAAACAATGATTTCAAATACACTTTCCGGTCTTTATTATAAGGCATTTTGACTTTTTTTAAGTTTCATCTTTCACGCATTTTTAATTTATAAAAAAATTAAAAATATTTCATAACAATGAGGAGAACACAAAGAATGTGAAAATATAATTTAAGATTTTTTTGTTAATAAAAAATACGTACTAGATAAAATTTAGGACAAACCAAAATATCCTATATTAAGGACCGGAGTGAGTATCACATTTGTAATAAGTACCAAAAAATTATTTCTTATGCGCATTTTTTTTCTTTAAATATCCTTGAGGTTATGCCAAATATATAATTTCTATTTTTCAGCAATTAATATGATTAAAAACATTTAAAAATGTTCATACAAAACAAAGAACACCCAAATAATTTTCCATACAAGTCGATTTCTTTCAAGTACATTTACAAACATATTAACAGAATTACATAATTCATTGATTCGTTGGCATATGATTAAATACTGAATTCTCATTAAATTCATTTGTGAAACAGCAAATGCACCACTATCCGATTTGGGATGCAGAGTTACAAAACCTCTATCCTTTGGAATTTCAACAAGGACGAACATCAACATCTTTACTGACTTAGCCATGTACAGGTGTGTGAAATACTAAGTTAGGGCATCTCCAATCCAAAGCTCCTCTAAACTCTATATTTAGAGTTGAAACAGTGAAATCCCACTATTTTTATAGTTTAAACAGTGTCAGTATCTTCAACCCATTCCCTCTAAAAGGAATATTCTCAGTATATTCTATTATTTATTTTTTTTTGTAAAACTAAATTTTATTATTTGTATTTTATTCTATTCTATTACTAAAATAAATTACATTTAAGAAATTTTATAATTTACGCATATGATCGTTAATTTAAATAATAATTAGTAATATTAATTATTAAATTTAAATTACATAATTTTTATATAATTAATTAATAGTAATTTTTTCATCATATATTATGCCAAATAAATAAAATTACAAATAGTAAAATAACAAAAACATTTGGCTCGATGATAATAATAAAACACCATTACTAATATTACATTTAAATCATTAAAAATACATAACAAATACATAACAAATACAAGTAGAAAATATTGCAAACATTAATTTAACAACAACACACACATGAAAATACAAATGCAAAAATACAAATGAAGAAAAAAAACATAACAACACTAATTATTACTGTGAGAATATTGTTCCCACATATGTTCAACCAAAGCATCACGAATTTCAAAATGTGCCTTCCTGTTTCTGATTTTTCTGTGCGGTGCCAGAAACTGTTCAAAGAGCTCTCCCTCACGAGGCATTAGCGTAACATTTGAAGTAGAAAATTCTACATTATCTCTAATTGGTGCACTGAGATCACATTCATCTTCGATAATCATGTTGTACAGAATAATGCATGTTGTCATTATATCATGAAGCACTTCTTTTTGCCATAAATGAACGGGACCTGCGATAATAGCGAATCTCCTTTGCAGAACTCCGAATGCACGTTCAACATCTTTTTTACATGCCTCTTGTCTTGTTTTAAAATATTGTTGCATGGGATTGGTTGGTGCTGCAAATGACTGTACTATAGTAGCCCATTTGGGGTATATACCATCAGCTAAATAATAACTCATATCATACTGTTTGCCTCGAATAGTGTAATTAGCCGGAGGAGCAATACCTTCTGCAAGATTAGACATTAGATGAGATGATTCTAACACATTAATTTCATTGCTAGTACCTGGCATAACGAAATACGCGTGCCATATCCAAAGGTCATAATCCACTAAAGCTTCCAAAATGAGAGTTGGATGTCCAGAACGTCCACTATATTGGCCAGCCCATCTGCTAGGACATTTATCCCATTGCCTGTGCATACCGTCCAAGCTACCAACATATCTCGAAAACCATGTTGTTCACCAATATGAAGCAGCCTAGCGACATCAGCAGCATTTGGTGCCCTCATATACTGAGAGCCAAAAATTTCTACGATTGCCCGACAAAATTTTTTTAAGCATTCATTTGCTGTTGACTCGGCAATTTGAAGATATTCATCAGTCTGATCCGTCGCGACACCATACGCCAATTGGCGCAATGCTGGTGTTATCTTTTGATTTGTTGAGAGTCCAGGTCTACCAAGAGCATCATTGAGCTTTTTGAAATACTTATCATGAATTTTTACTGCATTAGCAATACACTCGTAAAGAGTGAGAGACAAACGAAACCTTCGACGAAAAGTGTCCCCGTCGTAGGTGGGATTATTACTGAAGTAATGCTGGTACAAAGTCTGATCTGCACCTTCTCGATCACGATGGACGACTCTATGGCCTGGGACCGAACCCCCCCACGTAGGTTGGCTACTTTCAGTAGAGATAGCGTGTGACATCATAACATTAGAACTGTTTATGAAATGAGTAATTGGTAGATGGAAATCATTTTCAAATGGAGGAAATTCTAAATCTGAATTCTCCTCATCTGAATCATGATCAAATGGTGGAAGATAACTCATTTCAATGATTATTGGGAAAACTACGGGAATAGAAAATATGAATAGAAGATGCTTACATTGTATGACATGTTGGTTGCTGTTTATATAGACAAATGGAGAAATTGATTCCAAAGTATTGACTTAACGTCATGACTAATAATTCTAATTTATTGATTTCTTTTCAAATAAAAAAGAATCCTATGCTTTTTTTTTTGGCTTCATGGTCCAAGTTTAGTACAAAGCACATTTTATTGTCGGTCCCAAAAGTCATCACATGTATTGTCAGTACAATAAGGAATCAATGTTATTTTTGAGTAGGCGGTGACTATTGGTGCTAATAAAAGAAAGAATCTGGTTCATTTATTTTGAATTGACGGTGGAGAATTGTCGGTATATGGAATCCTATGCCTTTTTATTAAATGGTCCAAGTTGATGATTAATGTGTTGTCAAATACTGAATCCACTACTTTTTTAACTTCATGGTCCCCGTTGATAACAAATGCATTTAGAGTTTTCAGTAAAAAAAAGAATCCTACGCATTTTTGTTTGGCTTGGCATCACTAATAATAGTAGTAATAGATTGAGTATTTTTCAGTCAAAAAAAGAATCCAATGTTTTCTTCTGACTTGATGGTGACTATTCAATTTATCACATTTTATTGTCGGTACAATAAGGAACAATGTTTTCTTTCAATTGACGGTAGCTATTGGTCATATGCTTCTTTTTTATTAAATAGTCCAAGTTGATAAATAATGATCCATGTTCACCAATTTGAATAATGAGTAATGATGGTCCAAGTTAATAAATGTTGAATAATGAATAATGATGGTCCAAGTTGACTAATAATGATGGTCCAAGTTGACTAATAATGAATGATGAATAATGATGGTCCAAGTTGACTTGATAGTTGGTTCCAATAAATGAAATAATCTGATTCATTTATTTTGAATTGATATTAGATATTCAATCGAACGCATTTTATTGTCGGTGACATAAGGAATCCAATGTTTTCAGTCCAAAAAAGGAATCCGATGCATTTGTTTTCTAACATGGTCAATATGCACACTTTTTCCTATAAAAGGAATCCTATCCGAGCACTTCATTCCAATTCGCATCCACTTCTCCTTCTAATCTATACCGTCAAACACTC